ACTCCTTTTAAATCAGGGGTCGGCAAGTAAGTTTGGCATCAGGCCAAAAAAAATACAAATTCCACTAGATGGCGGGCCAGAACATACAGCATATACTATATATACAGTCAAAGGATAATTTAAGAAATTAATTGATGAAAAATGCAACTAGAATTGCCTGTGACAGACTGTTACAGTGTCTTTTTTAACTGGTAGTGAGCTGTTACCCTGTGTTAAATTCTGTAGTAGGACAGTCATTAACAAAAAACTATATTTGTGTCATGCTGTCCGGGTTTTACACTGGAGATGTGGAATGGATAAAAATAAGTAAAACAAATAAAAGAGGACTTCAATAAGCCCATTAATGGCATGTTTGAGTCATGCTCTTAACAAACTATGTTTTATTTCCTCTTTCCATATTGTGAATAATAAATGTGTATAATTTTAAAGCCTATAATTGTAATAATGATTTGACGTAGCCTACTTTAACACAGAATTATTCCTTGGCATCCTCACATACTAAACTTAATTTTTTTTAATTGTTTTGCGTGCTGGAGGTACGCTATTACGTCATTACGAGAGAAAATGGCACTATCAAAGAGCCTAAAGAGGCAAGTTGACAGCGAAAATAGGGCATACAACGAAGAATGGAAAGACAACTTTGTTGTGTTCATCCTACCTAGTTTTGTGAATGCAAAGCCGGTGTGTCTTATCTGTTGCTGTTTGCAAAGAATATAATAGACTCTTTTGAATGTCTTTCAGAACTTTTCAAATTAAAAGCTCTCAATTAATCTAAAAATAAAACATTACTGCAAAAACGTTCTGTGAATGCAAAGCCGGTGTGTCTTATCTGCAACGAAGTTGTCACTTTTTGCAAAGAATATAATAGACTTGTTTGAACTTTTCAAATTAAAAGCTATCAGTTCATCTCAAAATAAAACATTACTGCAAAAACGTTGACATATTTTTATTTTGAAGGCAAAATCACTAAAGACTAAGGGATTGTGAGTAACTGTCGCTGTCATGACAGATCTATTTCAGAACCAGCCGCTATCAAAATAATCTGACTGCGGGCGGGCCAGATATTATTGCTGGCGGGCTAGTTTCGGCCCGTGGGCTGCCTGTTGCCGACCACTGGTTTAGATCCTACCTTTCCGATCGCTATCACTTTGTCTATTTAAACGGGGAATCATCTTAATTAAATCCAGTAAAGTATGGAGTGCCACAAGGATCAGTCCTAGGCCCTCTGCTATTTTTAATATACATGTTGCCCCTTGGTAATATTAATAGAAAATACGGGATTAGTTTCCACTGTTATGCTGATGATACTCAACTATATATTTCAATAAGACCAGATGAAACTTCTAAATTATCTAAGCTAACAGAGTGTGCTAAAAATGTAAAAGACTGGATGATCAATAATTTTATCCTATTAAATTCGGACAAGACAGAGACATTACTTATTTGACAGTACACAGAATCCTGTAGATTACAATTTGCAACTAGACGGATGTACGGTTACTTCCTCTACAGTCAAAAATGTGGGTGTTATATTAGACAGCAAGCCCAATTTTACAGTCTTTGCACTGGCTACCTATTAAATTCCTTATCAGTTACAAAATAATACTACTTACACTTTAGGCCCTAAATGGTTTAGCTCCTGCATACCTAACTAGTCTTCAACCACGCTGCAATCCATCACGCTCCCTAAGGTCGCATAACTCTGGACTCTTGGTAGTTCCTAAGATAGCAAAGTCCACTAAAGGAGGTAGAGCTTTTTCGCATTTGGCTCCCAAACTCTGGAATAGCCTTCCTGATAACGTTCGGGGTTCAGACACACTCTCTCTGTTTAAATCTAGATTAAAGACACATCTCTTTGGCCAAGCATTCACATAATGTATCTCATTACCTTGCACTTCAGTTACATCTGATCAAATGCACATTAACATTCTTTTGCTTGGTTTGAACACATCATTTTTTGCTTAGTTGGAACAGCAGCTACACTAATTTTTTTCTCTATTTCTCTATTTTCTCTATTTCCTTCTCTGTTTCTGCCTAGGAATTACTCAAGCTTCAGTCTGGATCCAGCTCTTACAAAGACCTGAGATGATGCCAACCCCTCTGAAGACCTCAGATGATGCCAACCCTCAGACAACATACAAAACTACCACATTTTGCTATAAGTTTGATTGCACCATATAATAATTGCTGTTAATAGTGTTCATCGTCTGTTTGATTAAT